CCCCAAAACCCCAAAACCCCAAAACCCCATGGATAAGATTCTGGCAAATAAGCATTCAAATCTTATCAGCAATTAGCCACTTAATATACTTTCTAGAATTTAGCATAATATCATTTTAAATTATTAATAAAACTAAAATAGTGCAACGATTATTGAAGATGGAAAGAATAGACTAAAGCTAATAGATATGCAGATTTGGATTAAGCTGCAGATAGAGACTTGCAGGGTAATGCGACAGAATTCATTAAAACTAAGATTAATCTCAAATAAATGAACCACCAAGAAGAGGAAGAGGAATGCACTATCATCATAACAGAGGAGGTGCAATGATTAATAATGATGGGGTTTCAATAGTAAATAACAACGAGGAGCAAACACCAGACTTGAATTAGGATCATTAAAATAACCATAGAGGTAGAGGTGGTGATCATCATAGAGGAAGAGGTGGTGATCATCATAGAGGACGAGGTGGTGATCATCATAGAGGTAGAGGGGGTGAGAATCATAGAGGAAGAGGAAATGATAACCACCGTGGTGTTCGAGGTGGATATCAAAATATCTAAGAAGATGGAGATCATGATACTATTTAGGAGAATGATTAAATAAGAGGAGGCAGTAGCTATTAAGGTAGAGGTGCAAACGGTGGAAGAGGTAATTATAATCGAGGCGGAAATTATAGAGGAAGAGGTAGAGGTGACGTTGGTACCTTTACAAGAAATGCCAATAATGTTGAGACAACAAGCAATAACTAGTCTAATTAGCCATAAGAAACTAATTAGAGAAGAGCCAGATGTAATCATGGTAAAAGTTGTTGGAAATTTGCACAAGGTAACTGCAAATTCTTTCATTCACCCTCTCATTCCTAAGCAAGGTAGAATTCAGATGCACAAAGCTCTGGAGGAAGAGAGTAATGTGATTTAGGCTATGCTTGTGACGATGAAGAATGTAGAAATATCAAATGGCATCCGAATGAAGATGATATCTCAGAAACTTAATCTGATAATCAATCCCAAAAATCATCAACCTAATAGAAATGCTCTCTAGACAAGCTCTGTCAAAATGAACTATGCATTTTCATACACTCAACTTCAACAGGTAGAAGTCTTAAATTCGAATTGATGAAGGAGCTAATGACTCCAGGCTATCCTTAACATAATCCAATGCCTTTCCAAACTAATTCTAGGTAACCTCCCTAAAGAAGGCCTGCTCAATAGGAGGAAGAAAAGAAGTATTATAAGGAAGAGGAAAAGAAAAATGAAAAGAAGACCTATAAATTCAAAGACTTTTTAAAGCAAAAGTTAAATGTTCAGAAATAACTTCACGAACTTAAAAAAATATTCCCGAATTAAATTCTCAGTTTTGATTTGGAGAAAAAGGATGAAATTATCTTTGAATATGATTCATCGACGGAAAAGTGGGTCGAAGCTGATTAAGCAGTATAGAAGTATATGTTGCAGAGGATCAAGCACATTGTCAAAAGTACTAGCAAGAATGATGTAGAACACATGACAAACCTATTTACTGGATAAAAAAGATAAGAAATCAATTAAATAGGAGCTACATCTGTTTGGATCTAGCATGATCAAGTAGAAGAATCTAAAAATAATAAGTGGAAAAAGATGAACCATAGAAATAATTAAAATACGATTTCAATCTATGGTTTCAGAATTGACAACGATAAACTAATGAAAATTAAAAAGATTCTAGAGTAATATCAATTCTTAACATACAAAATGGATTACGCTATTTTTAATAAGGTAAGAGATATAAGCGAAAATCTCGTTCATGTTTTCCACTACCTAAAGAATAATCAAATAATTGAGGATATCCTTAAAGACTCTTAACCTCCAATCTAGCAAAATGTTAATTATGACTCCAAATTTTTGCAGATCAAAGTTAAAATCACATTATCCTAGTATAAAGATATAATAAACAAAGTCAAAACTGCTGTTTAAAATATCTAAACAAAAAAATTCAGAATTTCCAACTATTTTATTGTTACTTAGACCAGGTTACCTAATGATAAAACAATATAGAAGATTTTAGAAGATAAATTTGATATTAAAATATCAGATATAGTTCAAATTTTCGAGATGAATGATTCTTAGCACTCATAATTTTCTAATAGAAACAATAATCAAAACAATAATAAAAACAACCAAAGATAGGGCAAAAAAGGATGGCGGTATGATAGGATTGATGAGAGATAGAAAAAACTTTATGAAATGAAAGACTATGAAATTCAGTTAACTGGCCCTGACCTAGATTAGGCAGAATAATTCCTTATGAATAAACTGTCATAAATAAATTGCCAAAAAGTCACCCTTAATCAAACTAACAATAGGGCAATAGAAAGAAAAGCAAAAGATTTATTGCAATAAGTACAGTAAGAATATGGAGTTTTGATTTGGTTTGATTTCCCCACAATATATTCAGTTGGTAAAAAGAATAATAATAGACTTTAAGATGCTCTAAGAAAATTCGTCGATTTAGAGATGGAGGACTAAAAAGCAAGATAAAGAAGTACCAAACAAATAATAATGCAAGATGCTCCAAATGCATTTTTGGTTAAGATACTAGATGATAACAAAGCAAAACTTCAACAAATTGAAAGCAAATATCGAGTAAGAGTAACTTACAATAAAAATTGGTTCTATATATCTGGAAGCTAATAAGATTGCGAAAATGCTGGCTAAGAAATTTCAATAATTTAAATACAACTTTGCTAAGATATTATTAATAAGTAAATCATTGACAAAGATCTTCTTAAGGCAATGCATATGAAGGGAATTAAGCAATGTGAAAATGATTTCGGTGTTTATATCACCTCTGAGACTGTAGAGGAATAATAACAAAGATAGAGGTCTCTAATCAATTAAATCAATCATGGAATTGTTGTAAAATCACAAACTGAAGATTATCAATGGTTTTATGCTGTTCGACCTAGTGATGCTAATTATTATCAAAGACCGAATAAAAATGAAGATTGGTTTCCCTTAGATCCTGACTAAAACCGATAAGTAGAAGGTCATTATAAATCTTGTTGTCAGAAAAATCTATTTGGCCAAAAATTAGAAATTGTTGGAGATCAAGATATGTAATAAAACGGATTCCATTATGAGGTATGGGGAACGAGTCATAATCCATCTACATGGTATGAAAAAAATACTCGTTACAACAATCCAAGATAGCTTCGTAGAAATGATGTTTAGGCATAGATAAAATAATCATCATACGTTAACCCTAATATGCTTCACTCTGACAGAATGGATTAAAACAACCAACAAAATAATCCAATTTAGAAAAAGGTTTGGTCAGTCAAAGGAAAGAAATTAGATGTTCAGAGATTTGAAGAAGCGATGAAGAAGTTTGTAAATGACCCTACTAATCATAAAAGTGTGATCAACTTGAGACATTATGATAAATGCTAAGGAAAAATTAACTCTGTACTCTTTAACGAATTGAAATAAATAGCATAAATAAAATTCAATACTCAAGCTATCTTTAATGGTGATGGAACATAAATCACTCTCTAAGGTTTAAAATGCAAAGAGGCCTAAGTTATTATTGAAAAAATTCTCAAATTTGCAAACGAATATAACGTTCCTGACCACTGGGAGTAATTTGATAAAATGATAGATCAATATCTCTTGGTACTTGATGTTTAGCAAGGAACAAATGCTTGGAATGTAATTTATAATCAATTTAGGTAAACAATGCCAAATGCATAAATTCTGAAGATTTAAAGAATCTAAAATAAAAAATTGTGGAGAACATTTACTATACATTAGGAAGATATAACTGATAAGCATGGAAAATAAGCAAACTAATTTATGCTTTATCATGGAACAAGAGCTACTCCACCAATTGCTATATATGATAGTGAGGAAGGATTTAATATGCTTTATAGTAGTGGTGGAATGTGGGGACAAGCTTGCTATTTTGCGGAGAAGGCAAGTTATAGTCATAATGGTTATAAACATCCAGTTGGTGATGGAACATTTTAAATGTTTTATGCTAGAGTAACTGTAGGTGAATTCAAAAAGCTTGATCCACTTAATACACTCAAGATGCCACCTCCAATGGAGTCAAAACCAAAATTGCTTTACGATAGTGTGTAGGGTGAGACAAATGGATCCTCAGTATATATGATCTACTAAAATAAAAAAGCTTATCCAGAATATCTTATAACATATAAGTGAATCTGAGAATTGAAAAAAATTTCATAAATCTTTAGTCCAACTTAATGAAATAAGCAAAGTATATTCTTGATAAAAGTTAAATAGTAATACCTAATCTTTATTATTTATGTCTTTTCCTTTATTTAGCTTTCAAAAATTATACAAGGGGTTTTGGGGTTTTGGGGTTTTGGGGTTTTGGGG